GCTTTATTAGGGTTTGGTAATCTGATCTGAAATTTAATGCTTTTGCATGTTTTTTTATTTGTATTATTTCTTGGATTCTTCAAAACATGTTAATATGGTATGAGTCTTTTTTCCTGTCAAATTCCGAAATTTTGTGTCTGAATATGAGGAACAAAATTTTGTCGTTTTTTCCAGTCCAATAAATAAAAAACCGTCCAAGTTTCGTTTATATTTTGTATAACAAAATCAATTGAAATAATCCAAAGGATTCAAAAATAAAATATAATATAGGGTGTTAACTTGGGAAAAAGTGTTTTTTTGTGCTGTAACTTTTCTGGCGGACTCTGTCCACATGAGTGTTTACAGTAAAACCTACCAGCGGTTAAGGGTAAAGTTCATTTGCTTCATCCCTGGGACACCCTGAATAATTTGAAAAAACTAGTGTTGACATAGTTAGTAGTTAGTTAGAATTAGTATTTGCAATATCTTTTAACAGACTTTTTAAATATGTCGGTTTTACAGGTAACTTTCTTTAACAGTTGGTTGATATATTTTCTGCTTATCCCGCCACCATTGTGACTTAATGCATCAAGAAAAGTACATGATATTAACTAACCAAAACTGGCACTATTGCACAATTTCAGTCCAGAGCACAATTTTTCTGCTCTGTAAATACTCTTCTTCTATATTAATCCTATTTTCTGAGCGTCCAACTTTCACATAAGCCTATAAATTCACCCATAGGTACCCTCCAAAGATGCGCAATTAGGATAGCAAATAATGTCGTCCCAAGTACAATAGATAAAACTAAGCCCTCAGGTGCCATATTAGGAAAACCGATCGTATATTTTTCCATAGATCTGGAACGATTCAAGTCCAAGAAAATTTCATTGTCGCAAAAGCGAACAAAAAACGATTTCATTTCGAGGCATATGGATCTGCCATATGACATTTAAAGTTGACGAGACTTCGGGGAGCTGTTTACTACACCAATCTTACACCGAGCCCGGCTCGGGGATCGAGAAGCAAATTTAAGGGTAAATAAATTGAAAAGTGACATCTTTTATGGTTGTGCGCCCTCAGGGTATTATCGCCGAAATCAAATCTACCCGAGCCATTTGTGCGGCGGTTATTATTTTTTTGTTTTGCTCTCGAACTTTGTCATGTTGAAGATCGGTTGGGTTTTATCAAAATTACTCGAATTTATTAGCCTAATTCTTTTAGGGCTTAATTAGCTTTGTGTGATCCTAATTTTACAAGCACTTCCTGCTCCGCGCTTAATTACTATTTTAGCGCTGCTACGGTTTTTTTAAAGTTATTTGATATCCTCATTTTACAACATCAGTTTTCATGGTTTGCAAGACTATTTGGATCGGTGCAAAAAAGCTGTAACCTTCCTTTAAATTGTTACTTGATACGGAGCTTCTTCAAAAGATTAAGATTGAGGAAAATACGAGTACGTTTAAATGGGGTTCTATGCGTAATCCTGGGGCTTCTTTTGATTCAAGATTCAGTCGCTTTAATTTTCTTTCATTACCTTCTCTCTGAAGAACCACTTTGGTGTTATTAACCAGCTGAGAACAGACTCATTTGACATCATTGTTATACATTTGCAATGAAACAAGAGCCACCCAAATTCCGAACTCCGTTGAGATGGAAAATTAATTTGGTTTTATTGAAATCATTTTATGTCTCGTCTTAATCAGGAACTTTCGCATGTTGCTGATGGTGCTGAACTGACAGACACCCCTTAACACCACAATGGCTTCTAATAGCCGATACATAAAAATATAAATATTGAGGAAAGATTTCCGGGCCAAGAAAGGAGCTTCGGATCTAGTCGTTAAATTTTTAACGAGACTGTCGAACTGCGCTCCTTGATCCTGCCTAGCGTGAAACATCATTAAATTTAAAGCTAATGATGATGGCAGCGGCACTAATCCGCAAGTCACGTCACCCGATAAAATTTTACGGGGGCTAATGGAAAATATTAATTGGGATGGAGATTTCAGCGAAGATTGTGCAGAAAATTGAATTTCCTTGAAGACACCAGGATGGTATAATGGCACCCATACCATCCAAGCCAGGTTTCGTTAACATCCGTTATTTGAACTTGATTACCTTTAATTCGCCACCACCCTGTAGATTTTTTTTTGTGTATCTGCAAATGCGTGAAAGGACAATCCGTTCTCATGTTATCTCAATGTTTAGGAAATTAATAAAATCACTCGAGCTTTCAAATTTTAATCAAATATGCCTGGTATTTTGTCATCTCCTGTAAGTAAGTATGTTAACACTCAAAGGCAAATCGGAGATTCTTAACGAGAGCAATTTTTAAATTCTCTCGAGCGTTTTTCCTCGGCATCTTGAAGAAATGGGCTCGAATTAAGCGACTTTTTCTTGGGGATTTGTTAGTGATTTGGGTAAAGAGCTTGATTGATGGTAATTTAGTAACCAGGATTTTAACAGTATAAAGCGGGGTGGAATATGCTTTTTATTTATTATTAATCAGAAGTTATTATAATGAAATGACAAACATTAATGACAGCATTAATTAATAGAAATATGCATTTAAAAAACCAGCTGAAATTAGCCGCGGTTCAGTCTTTAGTTCGAAATAGTATGTCTACTTAGTTGCAGTCATACAAATAGTTTTTAATTTTCTTAAAAAAAAATGTTACTCATTAAACGCCATACATTACTTGTAACCTAAAAATGCAATTATCAGGTTATTTTCTTCTGCTGTATCCGAGGTTTTTTTTAATTTGGCTTTAGCTTAAGAGTACGCTATCTATTTGTTAGTTTGTAAATGCAGAATATTGCCTCGATAAATGAAAGAATTTCGAGTAATGATATGCATATCCGGCAAATTGAATAAAACATTAACAAATCAATTTTCCACCACTTGTGTTTTGCCTCAAAACCCTTTTCGCGACATTGAATATGAAAAATTTATTTTTCTTGAAACGCAGCTTACACCCACATTTTATAAATAAGTACGAAAGTTTTCAGTAACTTTTGTTATTAAAAAAATATATTTGACACCAATCGCTATTACTTTGGTTTTCTGCTTTGAAATGCCAATATCTATGCGGATAAAGGATTTAACAAAAAATCGATTTATTTGAAAGACACTAACGCGACTCATAACAATACGGTATGAAAGTTGGAAGGGCTTTTAATTATTTTTTTGCGATGATGCCAACATAAGAGGCCGCTTATTGTGCCACCCTTTTAAGCCGGTGTTCGCTTACTCCTGGAATTGGCTATCCAGGGATGGAGTAAACATTTTCGAGTCACCTGTTTTCCACATGAGAATATCTGATTAAACAAAATGGGAGAATGTGATTTTAGTATGGAATTTAAATCAACATTTAAGGATGTTTTTGTTTTTTGATTTTTAGTAGATATATTCAATTAAGAATTCGGCTTTAAAAAATTTAATTATTTTCTTAAAATATTGTAATTTAATGTTAAATTTAATTATTACTGTAATTTTTGAACATATTTACTGCTTATGTATTCAGTTTTCATGAATTTTACAAATTTACAAGTTTGATCTTCTATATTGCTGTTTACATTGATTGAGTAGTTTGGTGATTGATTTAGTTAGAATTGTGAAAAGGCGCCTTGAAAATTTTACTAAGAAACTGCAAGAAAGACGTTCAAATTAAAAAACAATATATCAGCAAAACCCTGAAAAAATGAATCAATTTTTTCTTCCGATAAATGGAATATTTACCAATCCCAGTTTGTATAGTTTATATTTTATATTACGTTTAAAAAAATTAAGGTTGTTTTTAGTCTAACGGTCGCCTAACGTTGAAAAATTAGCGCTCGCAGCATGTTTCAGCAAAAACACATCTAACTGTGGGTTTTACACAGTTTTTTAGGTCGATATTCATAACTTGCTAAAGTATGACACACCATTTATTTTGTATAAGGAACCGCTAGGTTCGTTTTTATTTACGTGTAATAAATAATGTCAATATGTTATGAAATAATTCAGAAAAAGAGGCAAAAATCAAGTTAGAAAAAAGTTACTATATGAAAATATGTTTAGAAAGGTAGGTGGTTTAAGAATAGTTTGAGAATTCTTTTAGTGGTATTTTGCTTGACTAGATTCTAATTATCGCGAAATCCAGTCCTGTCAGCGAACGTTTCTCGCAGCCCGAATTGTCCCGTAAATATATCATCAAAACACCTTTACATCACCCAAGTATGCGAGGAATTAGAGCGGGACCAAGAAAACCGAGAGAAAAAGGACGCAGATAGAAAGATTCTTTTAAGAAAGACGAGAGCGAGAAGGTGGCAGGTTATCGCGGACGTGGGACAGAGCAAGCGACGTATAAAAAAGAAGAAAAGACGTTTATAAGTGTTGCGCGCTTGCGTCTCGGGCGTCGGTAAACCTCTAAGAAACGACGTCGGTCTGAGGGCAAAAATCCGCCGTCTTTCCTGGTTGGTGGCATCGGCGGCGGTGGCGGTCTACCTCAACACGCCCCGCCCACTTGCCACCCTTTGGCCACCCACAACGATCCCCTCAACTACTTTTATACTCTTTCTTAATGTCAGAATATTTCGCGACAGAAAAGAACGCGGCAGGGCGGCTATTTTGCCCGTCTCAGGCGCTTTTTCCGACGGCTAACTCATACTGTGCGCTTTCCATTTTTCGACTAGTTGTGTTGTGTGGTGTTTGCGCGGGAGCTTCTATAAGTAGGTATCTCACCAAAAAATTACTTTGCTCATACTTTCAAACCGAAAAAACCTATCAAAAAAGTCCAATTGGGTTTTTCTGAGTGTCTTCTTCAGTTTTTCGGTCTTTTTATAGTAGTCTATTTCTGGTGTGAAGGTCTGAGAATACAGCGTTGGAGCAGGAGGTTTCGCATGCACAATAATCTAAGTTCTAGTTATTTTAGTCTTTGCCATATTTATGCACTCCACTGCATTATTCAAAGTAATTTAATTTTCTCGTTTCTCATGATTAACCTTCTGGATCATCTTACATTAATCACATCAAACACATGCCGCTCCCGTCTAAGACAAGTGTTGCAAAACGTTCCTCTATCGCCTAATTAGCTTTTTTATGTCGCTCGGCGCCCTTCGCCAAAGTCTCCCCTCGATTTTGTACCAGGAGGGTGAGAACATACACTGCTCAAATAATAAGGGCTTAAATTCAAGTTTATGTGTAATTTTCGACAACATTGACGGATGCTTTAAATTGTTTTTGCATAAAAAGCTTTTGAAATCAAAAGGAAACATTTTTAGAGACAATTAAACTGTAGGTATGTTGTTTTGTTTCGTCAAGAATGCGATTTCGGTTATGGTTTTTGTAAAGCAGCAGCAGAACTTCGCTTAGTAAATATTTTGAAAAATTGACCAACTTTTTAATTTCGAATGCAGATGTCAAGTTTTAGCAATGTTCCAAACGCTACAAACGTATTTTAGTTACCGTCATGTTTTTTCAATAATTTGTTTTATTTTGTATCGTGCACTCTTATTTTGGAAAATTTTATAATTCTTCCTCATCCTTTCAGCTAGTTATTTAGAAATAAACTGCTGTATAGGTTTCTGCTATTAAATAAACCAGTACTTAAGCATTCTTTTTGATTGATGATGATGAGGATTTTGCCAGTCAAAACTGGGAAAAGTAGAGATTCAAAATTGCAATATTTCTGGAGGCCTCTTTTCAAATCGGAAAATTAATAAGAAAACTACATTTCAATACAAATAACTAATACATATAAATTTAATCTTTTAGCTTCATTTGAAAATTCAGTCGGGTGTTTTGGCACCTAAACATGATTTTGAGTCTTTCGAAACGGATAAACTTAGTGCAAATTAAATTTTCAATTATATGTATATATATTATCAAAACTGCTTCTGAAAAAGAAGTTTGCAGTTCATCTAGTTCTATGTTAGAATGTTAAAATTTGGCGGGTCGTTGTACAATATCATTAATAATTATAAATGCAACTGCGTGCTTTTTCGACCTGATTTTATATTTTAAGTTTTCTTTCGTTTTATGGTATTTTATTATACTTATACAATCTATACATTATATATAATGTAAAACTAAAAGAGAACATTTTCGTATGCCACACTCGGTTCACTCAATAAAACAGCTATAGAAATATGTTTTATAAATGTGAAGTTTTCAAAAATTATGAGTTTGATTATTAAACGGTAGCATAATTTTTGTGTACATGATGCACCGATTAACCGACGGCTGTTAGACAAACTTAACAAACACATATAAAGAAGACTAAAAGGAAAGTCTTAGTGTTAGGTACTTCATTTATTAAGGATTTTTTGCTGATGCTTTGAAGAGGTTTGCGAGTAGCGATAAAATTGGGCAATTGGCGCAAAAATACGAAATGGCCTATGGAGAACAAGGGTGTCAAAGATGAATCATAAATCAGCTGATTTTTGCGCCCCCGTTCCGAGCAGTTAACTGGACCAAAACGTGCGCGGCTTGTCAAATATTTCGTTGTTCACCCCTCTTTGATATACTCCCTTACAAAAGACGGGGATAATGGTTTCGAAGTTTATCAAACCTGGACAACACCTGCTTGCTGGTTTCTAATTGATGGATGTTTTGGAGATTTTTATTACATTGAAAACGTTAAGTGGGTATCTACAGTTTATTCATCATTTTATAGAGATTTTTTCACATTCTTAGAAAGTGAGTTAGTGCGCACTTTATATAAATAGCTTTGGCTCAAAGACAATTCCAAATTATTTGCTACAATTTAAAATTTTGGCGTCAATAAAATCAAATCGGTTATTCAAACTGCCTTGCTTTATAACTTCGTGTTTTTGTAGAGGGGCTACATTTGGGCCTAGGACAAACTGTTAAGTTTCAGGTTTACTGAAGGAGTTTTTATGTTTTTCTTAAAATATATTTGCAAATGAGTTACGACTATATGATATAAGACTGTTCACTTTACTCACTTCTTCTTCCTCCCGGTTCAAATCTGACAAAGTTTATCTCCAGCTCCCAAATTGACATAACAGCTTCAAGAAATTGGCTGTTTGTGGAAGATTTTTCATACTCAGTTGCTAACCGAGAAAATGTCCAGTTACGAATTC